TACGTTGCTACTTTTCTCGGAGAGATTCCGGGTTCGAGCCCCTGTCGGTTTACTCGCTTTTCATCATTCCGAGGTTGATGAATCAGTTCCTATATGTTGGAAGGAAACAGGATACAAGAAACTTTGCTTGCCTTGTAGCTGCTGTTAACTATGGTTGTAAAATATGGCATGAAAATGAACATCATCGTCCTACCATTAACCTCGTGAAAAGAAGGACGCTGGAAATGATCCTATGAAGAAAATGTAAAGTGTAAGAAAGCCGAAATTCCAACGGTTACAAATTTTCGTGATGAACTCATGCCAGAATGTGCGAGACATCCGATCATGCTGTATGATGCATGTAGCTACTGTTGCAGTATTCGTTTGGATTCATTTGATAGCAGATTACGATTCAGTACAGTGCTTCGGTGGTAAATATAACAAAATGAGGATGCGTAAGAATGACTGACAGCGGTTACAAACTTTCGTTTTTTCTTCTCTGCCTATTTTTCTCAACGTGTACAGCATATCTAAGATGTTGATCGTTAAAATCTTTGCTTATAATGGAAAAAATATAACTAACAGTTGATCCTTTGTGATTTTAAAAGGTTAATGCTCAACAATGTCAGTCTGTCGAGTAAAATCGATCGGCACGTAGCCTTCAGATGGAACAGTCGTAATTTGTATTTAATATTTAAATTTTAAGGACAATGGCGATAGCAGCCAACATTCAAGATTACGTGGCTATCAAGCGTAACGAAGAGGCGGAGAAAGCGGAGGAAGCATTTTATAAATTTTTGAGCGAGTAAGTAAACTATGAATCATTTAATTTTAGGTACAGTACGATGCTACTTCGCTGCGGTCATGTAATTGTAATCGAGCTGGCATTATCACTTACGTTTGTCATTGTGAAAATATAAAAATTTTTTCAATTATTTTTCAATTCAGAAAAATTGTCATTGTCACTTCATACAGTTGACGACGGTGCATGGTTTTACTCAAACCAAACAGAAACGATGCTGATGTTTCTCTTAATTTTTAAATTTTGTCTGATCAGTACCCTTATGACACAAGGCGCTGTCTTCTGTTTGAGGGGTAGATGGCGTAAAAATCTCCTAATCCTTTCTGACGTTATTAATTTAGACGACAGTCTCCGTTCCTTTTGTCTAGGTAAGCACGTCGTGTTTCGTATTTCGGTTTGCTTTAAAGGCACCGTTATATACCTGCCTCATTAATAAACGAATTTAAAGTGCATAAAAAAATTTCATGACCGTCTTTGCTTCTAGAGGCGATGTATTCCGCTGTACGTCATGTTTATGACCTCTGCTTCTTCACTTCGTCTGTCGCTATCTCATCTTAACGGTGATGCTAACGTTAATCTGTGCAGAGTACTTGAAATCGATGAACCGTTCATGATTAGCAATTGTTTCTCTTGCAAATCAAGTTGCTACCACATGAGTTGTTTCCAGAAATTTTGCTTATTATTAATAATCAGCATACTTATGTTACTTTCACAGGCTCTGCACTGCAGCCATCGATAAACAGCATCATCGAGTGTTTGCATCCTGCAATTTATGCATATTGCCTAATTACGTGCTAACTGCTTGCTAGTGGTATAATTTTTTGAAATGCAACAGGCTGCGAGCTGAACATGGCCAGTCTTGTTCTTTCATATAATAAAAAATTATAATTTTAAATGCATAAATATAACTTTGATGTCAACACCTGTACCTGTGCCAATTTCTGTAATACGTAGTTATATAATTGCAGTCATTACGCCGATTTTTCTTTCCCGTTTTTATCATATACGAATAATATTTTCTAGAGTTTCGATTCGTTATGCAAACCAACGTAACTTCCATTTAATGGAAACCTCACTACAGCATACTTTTCCGAAATTTGGTTAAATATAAATTTTTCTCTGTGTATACTTGTATGGAAAGATGGATGGTATGATATGGCTGATGGAGTTCAGCAGGAATAGATTCGTACCCAGGGGGCTGCTAGCGCTCAGTTGGAAACCCTTAGCTCAGACTGGTCGATGACCTAAAAGAGAGATGTGAAGGTTTTTGACAACAAGACATGTTAACGTCGAAATCGAGACTAGGTAATGGCGATCTTCGTTAATTACGAAGAAACATCCGTTAATATATGTTATATGTGTCTTATCTTACATGTTGCATATAATTTATGCATATTTTTTACTATGTACAAATTGTCTTCTGTCAGTTCTCCGGTTTTCATGACGTTGTTGCACCGTTATTTGCTTCTATTAACTTAGGGAACTAAGAGATCATAACTCCATAGTATTATAGCATCCTGCAGTGCATGGATTCAAAGCCGTCCACCCTTTGATAGTTTCATCTATAGAGACATTATATTTTATAGGTTTAAAAAAGGTGACAAATTCGTCTATCAAGATTTAGTGAAGGAAATTGGCGATCCGGAAAGAAACACGCTGCCCGTCGACTTCCTGGAATTGGAGCAGTTTAATTCAGCGCTTTCTCTTATCATAATCCAGAATTATTATGAGTAAGATATGGTTTATTCGGTTGTGAGTTGAGTTTTTATCCGTCTCTTTTAGAGTGTACCCGTATTTATGCAGGGCAGTGCTGAATTACGCTCGCACGCTGCGCGTCAACGAAGAGCCAGTGATCATTGTAAAAAAGCAGATTTACGTCAGTTTCGAAAATGTTCCTGCCAGACACAGGTCAGTTTTTTTAGCCTATGCTCGTTTTGTTTTTTTCCAAGTATAGCAGATTGTTGTTATTGTTTTTGTGCAGTGACTTTTGCCTGTGCTACATTTAAGTTATATATGTTTCCGTAGAGAGTGCTCCGTCCGTCCGTACCGATGTGGATAGAAACTTACTCCCTGTTCAGTTTTAAACGGTAGCCTTTCGCTATGACCACTTGATGATCAGTTAGTACTGGTTGTGAGCCAGAAACTTTCGTAGATTTACAAATTATTCCGTGCTCTTACTTTTTTCTTTTCTTTAACGTGTTCCGTTTAATAGGGGTCCGTTGCCAAAATTAACAGCCTCCACATTTATCGGTCTTTGGTCAGGTTTTCGGTTACTTCTCGCAGTTCCATATCGTTTTTTACAAAATCGCGGCACCTTTTCTTTGGTCTTTATCTTCTTTTCTTCCATGGCAGTATCAGTGCTTGAATCACATTTCATCCTACTCGTCGGATTTTATTTTTACATTGCCAGACCAGTGGAGCCTGCTTTCAATCAGCTTTCCTGCAGGAAATACCACTGAAGTGTCTGTTAGGGTGTTCCATATGCGGTCGTTTTTACTGGCTTCACACATACCTCTGAGAATTCGTATTTCTAAGAAGTTCGGTTGTTGCTTATATCTCTTCGATGCTAGACATTCCGTTCTATACAGAATCTATATATCTTACTAACAGTCGCACCCCTCATCTGTCTCCATTTGAACTACGCTTTTCTCGACCAGTTTCTTAATTCACTGCAAATTTCCTCATTTTCTTGAGGAATGGAACGAAGGTACTAGAACGTTGGGTTTGAGTCAGCCTGCTGTCCGCTGTTTTCACTTATTCGTTAGTTTTCCCCACCGAAGTCGTTCATATATTCAGATTTGCCTTTGCTTATCCAAAGGCAGATTTTCTCAAAGACTCTTATCCACACCTGAACTTTTGATTCTACTGCTTTTTAGCCCCCACTGCTTCGTCTGCATAGAACATGCGGTATTGGACTGCTTCCTGTGGATCTTTAGTTATCGTCCGTTCGCTAGATCGTTTTGTTCTCTATTGATCGGTCGAGTTGCAGGAAGGACTCCTATACTCAATAGTACTAGGTGTTCGAGTTTATCCCGGCCATCTGTTTTACCTTTATGTGAGTATGAGCAAAACGATATTTCTAAAAACAAATTCTATGTCTGCATCATATAAACTTCAACACTGCATAAAAATACCTGTCCCTTAGTCTCGGCAGTCTGGTAGTTTTCTTATAGAAAATTCCATTCTATAGTTTATTCCGTATGGTCTGTTCACCTTAATTTCTCTTCATATGTTGATGATACAAATCAATTTTTTGAAGGTTTATTTTTTCGTCCATTCATGCACTGTTATTTTATCAGCCTTGCACGATGAATGTAAATACTTCGAACATGCTCCAGCTCTGGCACGTGCGAAACTGCTCATCTTTAAAGTATTACGGTTAAGAATGACATTTTGGCTCTCTATGCGCTATTTGTGCTTTACCTGTTATAATATTTATTTATTTAAAGCCTGTTTCGCTTCTCTTTAATATTCACTGCATTCATAAGCGATCTCAACGCGTTAGCTGTTTCATCGTAGTTGCTCATATAACTGAGTTCATTTCTTTGTAGTCTTTTTCAGCGCTTTCATATGCATAGACATGTTATTGTATAAAAGTTATCTGGCTTTTAGCTGAATTCTTAAAATTAATGGATATCATTTATACCTGCATTTTTCATTTCCTTTTTTGCTCCAAGTAATTTCGTAATAAGATCCACCTAGTTGTATTTTAACTGCGCGACCTTTCATCACTGTTAATTTTTGTGCCCATCTATGAGATGAGCGGTTTCAAATGCGTGATTGAAATTTGTAAACCTTTAGCGTAGACCAGTGTAGAAGTGTTCAGTGGCTGATCATTCAACTTTTCATACTCATGAGCGATATATGGTCATAAATAACGAGATTTTGCTGTTGTGAGCTCTAGAACTTAGTTAGCAGTGGCAACTTTGAACTGTATTAGCAGCATGTAGCCAGTATGTTCCACTAGCTTTCAGATTATAAGCAGTTAATGAATTTAGATTGCGAGAACTTACCTCGGACAAGTTGGGAACCTTGCTTCGAATCACCGCTCAGATTATTCGTACCCATCCGGTTCATCCGGAATTGTCGCAGGGGACGTTTGTTTGTGCTGAATGCAATGCAGTGATTACCGGAATCGAGCAGCAGTTCAAATATACACAGGTATTTGAGTATATGGCAAGCTTTGGTGCTGTTTCTGTAAACGACTCGTCTCTGCTTTCTTCAGCCGACCAAGTGCGTGAATCCGGTGTGTCAGAACCGTACCCGCTTCAAACTTGATGTGAGACGGTCGACTTTTGTTGACTTTCAGAAGATCCGCGTACAGGAGATTCAAAGCGAACTGCCTCATGGCAGTGTTCCCAGGAGGCAGGTCATGTCAAGGCTAAGATACGATGTATAATCATCTTTCCGTGCTGTCTAGTTTGGAGATAATTGTTCGTGGCGAATGCGTTGAACTGCCACAACCCGGAGATCGTTGCGATTTCACTGGTACCCTCATAGTGGTGCCGGACGTTTCTCAACTTTCTGTTCCGGGTGAGTGATCAGCCGTACCTTTGCTAGTCGTAGCTCTTCTTGCACGTCAATCAGTAACCTTCAGCGTCATGATAAATAGAGTAAATGGTTCAAAAAATTGAACTTCTTGAAACTGTGGTGTGTTTACATGAAGAGGGCTCTAATTGCAAACCATTAAACCCGTTTCAAAATGTCTTTATTGTATATAATCAATATTTATTAGCGGTCTGTACGCAGTATATCCGTTATATACTGTATACGTATTATTAAATATGAAAGGCATTTTCAATATATTGTGTGTGAGACATGTGCGTATAGTATCAAGCAACACGTTATGCATAAGGTGCATTGTATACTAAGTGTTTTATATACTGCAACAACATTGTGTACTTTGTATTCATTGGTTCCTGAAGCATTAATTTTTATCAGCAAGGTTTATGTTATATTATGTGCAGCATGGTCGTAACTTTGACACGTTCTAGTATGATCGTACCGGAGCACCGGAACACTGTGTTGCCATCACTGTTCGCAGGTCAGCGATTTGTAACCTGACTCATTACTGGTTATGGGTTGGTGAAGTTCGTATGGTTAACTATATATATATAGTGTGAGATGGTTCTGTTTTGCATTTTAGAGATGCTGGTTTGACCCTCCGAGTACGTGTATCTGCGAATTGTCTTCTTGCAGCACAGTGGTGCTTATTTCCTGTTTTCAGGTGCTCGTGCGGAAAGCAGTGCGCGTCACCGTGGTCAGGAAGGCTATCAGGCGGAGGGTGTCGGAGGTTTGCGGTCGTTGGGTGTCAGGGACTTGAATTACCGCTTGGCATTTCTCGCCTGCTCGGTGTGTGCGTCCTGCTATCGGGTAAGCGATCTCATGAAAGTCCACCAAGACTCTGATCTTAAGGGCAGAGTGTTTTAGTTTGGCGGCAGTCGTCTGAGCGAAATAGAGATGACGCCCGAATGGGCAAAGGAACACATGAGCGCCGACGAACTAGCAAAAATATGCGAAATGATCGCCGACAAAGATTTGTATACGAATCTGATCAACAGTTTGTTCCCCTCCATCTACGGTAAGATGTTTTTTCAGACTTTGAGACAACACCTCTGTGAGACTCAGTCTTGATTATCACAATGGGAAATGTGCACTGATGGATGTACGTACCTAAATGCGTTTTTGAATTTTGAAATAAATCTATGCAAACCTATATATAAGGTTATTGAAATATTCATGCAGTAGATGAACATGAATATAATTATTATTAACGTCTCCTGTGACAAAGAATCGCAAAGCTTTTCACTCTGCTTTCGTTGCTCATGCCATGGAACAACACTGTAACACTGGCCAGTCGACACCGCGACAAAATGTTTCTGTTGATCAAGGAGTCGCTTTACAACTCAATCAGCGGAAACAGAATCTGTAATGGTTGTATCGGCTCCAGTAGGATTTTCGTCGTGTTGAGCCTGGTTGATTGCTTAATTGACGACCGATCAAGCGTCCTACCGGTTGGGTCAAGCACCAACTCATCAGCATCTTGCCATTTTAGTTGTTATTTTGCTTGTTTCCTGATGACGACG